AGTACTTTTCAATTACAGCCCTAGACTTCAACTTAAGATCTTCATTTTTCTCCAAGTGGGAATTCTTCATGAGACCAACTTAAAGCTTGTTAGAGAATGATCGACAGGAATCGGTTATTGGATTGAATTGGATATGGGTCAATAAAAATGTGCATTTAATCCAATAGTGAAGTACAGACTGTACTGTACAAGAGATAAAGTAAACCAACGTGACAGAAATATAGCAGGGAACTGTCTTAATTGTGGATTTACAGATTCATTGATTCACCTTTTGGGATGTTGCAGTTTGATCTAAATAAAAACAGAAAATAACTGATTGCCTAGGTATTCATTCAACCTCTTAGTCCATCCTAAGATTAGGGATGCAATCATCTTGATCGGCCCTGATATTGACCCCATTAAGCAGCTCATGTTGGCCATAAAGTGACCGATTCCCGTTGAATACAGCGTCTGCGAAAGCACTGGTATGGGATTTGTATTGGAATGACTATTTTGAGAGTAACAGTCACATTAGTGCTTCCCTGATTTAGATTGGACATCTGGCAGCACTTACAGCCTTGAATCTATGTTGATAGGTCTGCATTAGCTATGCACAGCTGGCAGTCGTTCCTCGTTCGCAAACGTGCTCGAGCTAAGTCGAGTAACACTATGAATGAAAAGCAATTTTCCTCCCACAAATTCTACCCCCACAAGTAAGTTGTGGAGCAGAAACTGTCCCCGCCGCAGGCTGCCACCACCAGGCTTCACGGAAAGGATGATGTGGTTCAGTTGATGGGCAATGTTTAGCTTACACCAAATCCAGCGTTAAGTCTGATGACCAAAGACCATTTGGCTCCCACCAGACCACTGAACCTTCTTCACTGTGTTTCATCGTCCCTCACTAGCCCAGATGTCGTGTGTGGGTCTTTCAGCGATGCTACAACATCAGTGTATAATGCTGCCTCAGCTTGCAGTCTGCAATGTATTCCGTCATTATTCTTCCACTACTCAGACTCAGCAACTCCGGCTTTCATTCATTAGTGCTGGCTGACAGGGAATGTTTGCAATACATTTGAGAACTGTGCAAGACCTACAACATTTGATGTAGGCACTGCTGTCAATAGATGGTCATTTTAATGATCTTGCAAATATGCACGTGTGTGCTGTGGGCACGGAAAGGCTTTCGCTCTTGGTATAGTAGCTTGCCAAGTCACCAACTGCTGTTTGGAGATCAACAACACAAAACTGACAAATTAAGGAAATGTGCAAAACAACCCAGGTTGGTGTTTGACCAGTACTGCAAACTCAACCCCGCAGCCCAGACCATCACAAAGTCCCAGCTCAAGAGCCAGGAAGTGTGGTCCAAGAGGCAAACTTTACACCAAGTGCCTCATTTCAAAGTCGAAATTACTAGAAACCTAAAATGGGCCCCAGTGTTTTATCAACAACACAGGTTGAATGTTGCTAGGTCACAACTTGTCCAAGCTTTTAATCATGGGTATTATACCTGGCAGAGAAAGTGTGTAAAGTCAGGGTGTGTGCTCCGGCCCAAGCAGCCACACTGCACTGCACAATTCCGGTCTTTTACACTGATTATACCAACAATACCTCAGACAGAACGGGACTACCACAAATTAGACTAATCAGGTGTATTTCACAATCCATTTGTTTAGCTGCAGCAACAAGCACTGGGCTCACATGTGCTTCATTTAACAACGAGTACACACCAGATATAGGAGTATGCTTTCTCATCTACAAACTTTTGGATTTTATGTTCTGCATATTTCCTGTCTGCACATGAGAGTTCAACTCAACAAAATGTCCAACGTTCTTTACAACAAAAGGTTCTCAAATGTCAGAAACCAGTCTGGTGACAAGGTTGCAGACCAGACACCCCAAAACAGCTGAGGGGCAGAAACCTATTTGGCTGGGCTCAGGAATTACTGCACGCCATTCAGCTTATTCATTGGCAAGACTACACCGGTGCCTATGTTTCCTCCTGCTTCCTAGTCTACAAATCGAGTGTTTCCATGTCTGGGGAAACAAACAAGATGTGGTTGTGAACCTAGGAAAGAGGGAACACTTCTGAATCTTGTCCCGAGAAGTTCTGCGGGGGGGAAAAAAAACAAACAATCCTGACGCACCAAGCTGGTGTCCTGTTTAAGTCACTGTGTTTGTGTGCACATCAGAGTGAACAATGCAGAACTGGGACAAAAGACAACAGCTAAAAAGCAGCTTTTCCTCTGCAGCAGTCCCCGAACGGAGAACTTGGCACTCTCCTATACGGACGTCCTTGAAAGCTGATCAGCCAAGATAGAAAACCTAAAATGCGGTTTTGTCCGTATGCTTACAAACCTAACAGACCTGCTGTGGCCTTTGATCGAGTGTCTGTGAAAGAGCTACTGTAGCTTACGGTCAGCAAGTTGATCCCCGATGCCACGTCTTCACTCTGAATAATTGATCAGACGCATTAGAATGACTAAACCGGGCACCTGTGGCGGAGGTTAAACAGTTTACAGAGAGATGGAAGGAAGGTTTGACAACAAACGGTCTCGGAGGAGCAATCCATGTCGGACTAATCACACTGCCAAGGAAAGGAAAACCTTTAGAGAGTTTAAAAGGTTTCCAGTCACAGAGACACTGTCTTAAATCTGTATCAAACCAGGCTTAGTTTCCTCTTATACTTAAAGATCCCCTTCAGACATGTATTACAACATATATAAATAGTATGTTTGGAACAATGTGTCTGATATGTTTCCCCATCAAAAAAAAAAAAAAGTAGCATTTCCACATTAACATCCTTAAAACATCTACTCCTCCTACTTCATTAAAAGTTCTAGGAATATGCAAATGTAGTTCACTTCTGAAGTTCTCCTGCTGGACACAAGATGTCTCCTACTTTACCTACTTACAGTTTTATGTTGTATAATGGAGTCAGTGAGCACAGAGAAACTTTCCACTTTCAGCAGATGAATGTGAAAACATCCTTCTAGAGTCACACAGACAGCATTCACACAGCACACTGTAGGAACAAGGAAGGAGAAAACTGGTTTCCGACTGTGACGGGGGATGCAAGTAATCCAGCCACGCGAAGGAAAAGATTCACCTGGGCAGAGACACGCGTCACCAAAGACGCAACAACGCCAGAGCGTGGTGATGGACAAATGCTCCAGTAACACTCAGATCAGGGCAACTTCCTGCTCACGGTGATGTCACAACACACCATCTTTTCGCGTGGCTTGTAAAGACTTGTATTACAGGCCAAATCACCAACAGAGAGTTTGACAGGACATGAGGAATGTGATGAGACCATGAACAGCAGGAAGTGTGCCAGTCTGACTCCAACTAGCCAGAGCAAAGAGGAAACGTTATTTAATGCATGTGGAAGATGAATATGTGTGTGGATGCATGTGATCAGGAACAAACTGCCTCGAAAACTCCATTTTAAGTTCACAATACATCAGAAAATATCTTTGGAAAATGTTACAAATTGTTAACTTAGTATCTTAAACCTGATGAGGGCACCATTTCCCCATCACCCCCCAAACCAGCAGATCCATTAGAGCAAAGCAGATCAGAGCAGACTGAAGCCACACTCCGACAGGCTAAAACGGAGGCAACGGATCCCGTGATTCTCATTATTACACACAGCTGTCTGCCTCACATCATTACCAGTCACCACTCACCGTCCATTTGCACAGCGGGCGACGCTTAAAACCACACCGACTCTTTGGCTTTGACAGCCTTTAATGTGATTACTGCGAAAGCCTGGGAGTAAATTAAAAGTGAGGCCGCTCAGCTAACCTTCGCCTTCAATGAAGAGTGCCTCCCCTGCTGCCAGAGCGGCCGACCTTCCTCATTTAAAGTGCTTGGACCAACTGCTAGTGGTCGGCTGCAAGAAAACGAGAAGCACGGAGGATTAACATTAACAAGAGCTCCGTAGTGGCTGCTGCTGCTGG